CCTGTGAGCCCTAAAACTGACATTTCCCGGTTCAGATCAAGTTTTCAACTACAGTGACATATTAATTCCGTCCATGTTCTTTCACGGTGCAAGTCTTCACTCAACCTATGTCCCACTGGTTTGAGGGGGATCTTCAAACGAGGTTTGATCTCCACTCAAACCCTAACTCTACCCAAGCCAAATCTTCATCCAAACTTTATCTCGGTGCAAATGGTAACTTACCTAACTCACCTAGATTCCACCTGGATTCAAGCCTTAACTGTATGGCTAGGTAGTGCCATAGTAAAACCACGTAATGAAATGTAAAACTATGCGAATTTACAAAGACATCATATGTAATGTTGTCTTAGACGGCACGCAGCAGACATTTAGCACCCAATGCCATCAACTTCCTTCTCTGCTCAGATCATGAGAGAGAAGCAGAGATCTGCAGTAAAAGGGTGCTTCTGCTTCAAATTTAGTGATGCAAGGTCTCTGATATGGGTAACAACAGATAGGTACTAGAACTAACGGCTTTATGAACCTGGTTTTCCATAAAACTTCCAACTCCATGTTAACGAATCTTTGGAGACCGTCTGCCACGCACTGTCGTAGAGAAGTGCAAAGGAAAATATCTTCATACCTTGCCGGCAAACTGTCAGCCGGCTGACGAGTGAGCCTGAAGTAAATTTTTAAATATTACGGAATTAATCAAGATTTTTGACTCTTCATACATAAGATATTCTTTCATGAGGCCCTCGCGCTCATGAATAAAAGCCAGTATGTGTTTTGTCGAAGAAATGAAGCACTTCATGTCGCTGATCAGATGCAGAAGCTTTGCTAGTAGCTGGTCAAACCTGTTGCGATGAAGAATGCAAAGGAGACCAGCGTAGGCATTGGCGGCAGCGAAATACGCAACGCTGAAGGTGAACAGCAGCGTACCGTGATGCAAGCAGAAGCTTAACAATGAAGTCGACAACAAAGAGACGAGCATTCCAAACAATACTGGCATCCTAAACGAGAAAATAATACGGCCATTGCATATAGAACAATGCATATGAAAGATCTACAAGGAGGAAAGTCGAGCTTGGTTCAATCGAAGCAGTTCTTCTTCCACGGTTCTCTGGACAGCCTGAACTGTGGCGATATCGCCTTCGTACAGCATATTTGAATCTAGGCATAATTTGATTCGACGCAAGCGACAATGTAAGTCCTAAAAAATATAACGATGAAACTTCTGAATTTCAGTGGACCGGCTAAACGAAATGACATGCAAAGGTTATTACTTCTGGATCTTAATGATATTGTTATTTTTAATTGCTCAAAAATTTGACAGGTTCAGGAGTGTTGATAGGATCTAATTAAGGCTACTACCGGTGAAAACTTTAATGCTTATTCTTACCATTCCCAGTTTGAAGAAGTCGGTGAATCGAAAGTGAAACAGGTGATGTACAGCAATGGATTTTACTTTTTAACCACTAAACGTCACCGGATTTCGACAAGGCTGATAACCCTCTTCGTTAACAACAGTTTTGACTCTAGACTTTGGAATCACGGTTCCATTTAATGGATAGCACGCCGATTATACTTCATGAAAGTACAGTTTCATTCTGCTTATGAATATCGTTCTAAGTATTTTAACTAGCTGATGGTTAAATAATGAAAATAGTCCCGGTATTATGGGTTTTCTCGCATCTGCGATTTTTCGATACCGCCGGCGAGAATAACAACCAATATCTTCGTCGGATTTAGACGGCATAGCCGGATTGTTGCTTGCCTCTAGTTGTATAGGGACTGTTTATGTATCGAAGGTATCCTTCCATGGTATCTAAAGACCTGCAGTGCAAGAACGCAAGACAACACCATTTTGATGTCGAATAAAAGCATATTCAAACAGCATGCACATATTTCGATCCGCAAGCATACATGCACTTTTGCTGAGATCATCATTTGGGCTGTGTGCATATGCATGATGCCTTTCTTTGTGATGCCCACTTCATACCATGCTTTTCAACGCTTTAACTATAAGGCAACAGTTACTCCGCCTAACTTTAATCTATTAAAACAGATGCACCTCCACCGTGTACTTCCATGTTGCATACTGACCTTCTGGTCGACGTTTGCCGTGTCTTGCGGCTGTCGCATGATAAGCACAAAGGCTAGAGAAAATGGTGTAATGTTAAACAGGGCCAACCCCGTTTTCTTAATATCCACATCTACTGAGGTAACCCATGCCTGGGAGAGAATACAGACATTTCTCACATAGTTACGCAATTAAAAATTGCCCTATAGGGAACGTAATGCTACATAATACAGAAATACTCACTATATCTGAAAACTTCTCCTTTTTGAATTTCCAGGGTAGAAACGCACGAAATATCAAATTAAATATTTGTGTGAAAGTATGGTTTAATTTAACGAAAATTCCATAAGCGAGAGAAGCTTCTTCAGGAGCGTCAGACACACACTCCACTTCTTCGAAAGTTTCGAAATCAGAGTCGAAAACTTCGCGCAAATACAAGTAAAGCGGCGAATTCTAAACGGCTGATTCAGACAAGTTGTTTTTCGCTTCTAATCATGCTTACCTTCGCGACAAGCAATTCTTCTTCGTCCATTAATTCTTACCCCGAGTAGAATGTGACAATTTATGCGCGGAAAGGCGTCTCCAAATGACCTAATCTAGACGGTTTCGAGATTTTTCACAAATTAAGGGTATTTATTCAAAAAGCACTAATCAATATTCCAGTACTTATTTCCATGACTTCGAAACAAATCATTTAAACCCTTCCCACAATTTTGGAAGAACGCAGAGGCCTTTAATTTACACTACATTGATTTAAAATGATTTTCATGTACAGTTAGAAATACTTTTCATTAGGCATTCCGTTTATACGGAATCTCAGGAAAGTTCGATTTATTAATTAGTAAGGGTTCCTCAAACGTGATTTCAAAAGAAGCTAGACAACGCCTTTTTTGAACTAAATTTGAAATTATTAGTTCATTGAAAAACCATCATTGAATACTATTATTTAAGAGGGTTAATTCCAGGAATACGCACTATGCTTAATCTGCAGCAAGTGACACTCTACTTGTGACACAGTGACACTCTACTTGTAGAAGGGGCCAAACTGGAAGAGTTTCGTTTTCATTTTTTCAAGAAGGAAATCGATGTGGGACCGACGATTTTCCTAGTACATATAAGAACGATTTGAGTTTTAATGCTAGGTTGCAAGTGTATGGTAACGAGCGTATAACGTTGGAAGTGTGTTCAAAAAGCGCACATGTATTCACAATTTAACTTGCAATAGCGGAAGCCATGCTGCTCACTTTCTCTTAGCTCCTTCTTGATAGTTGATTTAAGTTTTTGTCCACTCGACCGTCATTGATATCCAAATCTTTCTTTCCAGCACTGCTTCTTTGCACACGCTGCTTCTTGCATCCCATTTTGTTACGTGGCACGTTAATGTACTGTGTTCAGTAACAGAAAAGCGTGTACCATTGCTATCTTAATGCAATATATGTAAATATTTACTCGATTTTTCAGCTTCGAGCAGGTTTCTCGAAATCACAGTCTGACTGCAGGAGCCGCTGATCCGATATATTCTCCCATCATTCTCTTCTTTCAT